ATAAGATTCAAAATTAGTTAGTTTATCTAAATGAAATAGCCCTCTAGTACCCCTTTGATATTCGACCTTCGGTGTTGATCATACGTACAGGAAATCGCAAATGCAACTAGAATTCTAGTGAAAAATAGCCAACTCAACTTTCTTGGTTAACAGTAAATGTGTTCACTAGCCAGAAGTTGCTTATAAATCTCTGGCTCTAAATTTTGGTAGGAGTATCAGCATAGCGCACTCTTCTCCAGTATCACGTAGTTTAGCTCTATGGCTGGTATAGCGTCGAATGCCCACAAAACACAGAAGTAAATCCCTTTAGAGGCTTCTTGGATTAAGGAAGAATTCCATACCGCTTAGCAGTATCGTTTACCATCTCGCATTTATATTAATTACCCAGCAACTTTACGAAATATATATGATATGTAGCGACTCAAGTTACAGTGCGAACAGATTTAATTAACGAAACATCGGCTAAACACTGCGATAAGGAAATTAGGTGTAGTCATGCGTTAACAAGACTTTAACTGGTTCCGAAATACGCAAGCTTTATCTGAATACAAGGCAGGCTAGAAAATACATTCTGGACCGGAGTAATTATCGCTTAGGAATTTTATCTCCTGTGGATCCTAAATATGAGCAAATAGCCGTATGTCGTTATTGAGATGCCTTGGCAGTATATTTTCAGGATTTCCAACATTCCTCTATCTATTTTATAGACATTTATTGTTCAAATCCAAATTTTTTAGAGTGGTGTGACCTCGTTTTCGAAACTTGGTCCTATTATCACAGAGACCAAGATAAGCGTACCTTATACTGTCTAGTCTACTGTATTATCCATGATCATTTCTAGCATCGAACGATTGACTTGGTACAGTCTCAAAGATTTCGTCGGTATCGTATTCTGCATCTTTAGTGAGCCTTTTAAGTTTTAACATTAAACTAAAGCCTTTCAAGGAAATGAATAAAGTCCATCTCCCTACCAGCTAACTTGTGAACAGTTGTGGTATCTATCCTTTTGTCTTGGAGCATTTACCTATATCAAATCCTTTATGACCCCTTGCATTATCTCACCTTCTAACATTTTTATTCGACTCTACTCTATGTTCGATCATCTAAGGGAATTTAGTGAGGCCTATTAATATTCCCTAATGGTCACCTTATGCTCAAACATAGTACTGAGAGTGTTAGTGCATTTTCTCCAGTCCTCCCTGGATGCGAACGAATTTTGGGAAAGCAAGGCTGCGAAGTTCAATAAAAACATCAACTATGCTCATATAATTGTGGAAAAATTCAGCTAACAGTACTTCATCATCTTAAACAAAATAAGATGAATGCATCTCAAAAAGAAATTACCGCTAGTCTCGAAAAACCTACTTATAAATGAAAAATAAGCATTGTAATATATTGTCATAGTAATTGCAATTTTTCTTCATCAACAATTCCACCAAAAAATATGATTTGGGAAAATGCCTGGTCTTCCTTGAAGATCATATCTGCCCTGTGATCCTGTGGCCCTCGTAGCAATGTGGCATACTGCTTATCATGTGAAGATCACGCGCTGCACTGTGATAGTTTGTAGGAAAATTCTACTACTCATATTACCTTACTTTTATTACCTTAAACGAACTAGAGTGAATACATCTTATATAACTGAATTACTGGTAGTCTCGAAATTCTACTCATGAACGAATAATAACTTGACCCTAATTTCTCTTTTCTCATTTTGGCCAATGTATTGAGTGCGAACAAGTAATCTAGGTGGAGAATAAGTACTCTTGATTGCAGAGGCTACTGGTCAAATTCCTCTTCTAATTTGCCATAAGAGGTGGGAGTTAATATATGATAGGTAATCAAGATATTTACTCATTGATATTCTCGCAAAATATCAAGTATATCTTTCTTATTGTCACGCTAATCATTCGGGTTTAACACCCTTTTCGTATCCACCGATTCTCAGAATGTCTTATTTATTTTACAAACTCTTCCTCCGACTGCCGATTTCTCCATTTATATGTAATTGTTTTGGCATATCGTTTACTAATTCGTTGTTTTTTATGGCTGGAACCTTCCTTAGTATTTAATACATTTTCGATCAAGATATATATTCCATTTTTTCATGTATTGCTTCCTATTAATAACAACTGTTGTTCCCTGATACCTGCATAAAGGACTATTTGGTCATTTTGTTGTAATTTTTCGTTAAATACTGTCAATCTTCTACTAGCGATAAACTCTTAATTTTCCAAGTTTATACTATTTATTTACTCATTCTTGCTAGTACCCCTAGGAAAAACGTAAAGTCTACTCATAGCATTGTTAGGAAATTTCACCACCAATGCTCTTATCATTTTATACGAGATACAGTGAGCGCATTTCATATCTATGTTGAACTAGAAGTTTCGAGAATATGTGTATAAAACGAATAATAGCTTACTTGAACGTAAAATATTAAGTTTGAATACAATATATTTATATCTATTTTTAGTATCATGCAATGATTTAAAGTATAAAGCGTAATGCTCAAAACCAAGTAAAACTCGAAAAAATATGCTAATTAAATTTCTTCGCATTCATTGAGTATTAAAGTAGGCAGATGTGTTTAACAGTTTCATAAAGTATATATTGCCTTTAAACGTTTTAATTAACATATTTCAAAACATATTTAACGATATAAGCTAAAAAACTTTAATGATTATTGTGCGGTGGCTAGTTTGAGTATTTACTGATTCGCTCGTATTTTGCGTGGCATTTCAAATACCCAAACCCTACATGGCACTCTGGGTAGACAAATATAGGCCTTCAAGTCTCGCTAAATTGGATTATCAAAAGGACAGGGCGCTGAGTCTTAAAAATTTAGTAATTTTTTATTAGTACTCTAATTATTCCTAGATATCGCGTGGAAATTTCCCCCATCTGCTCTTTTATGGACCACCTGGCTCAGGTAAAAAAACACGCATTCATTGCGTTTTGCGTGAATTATATGGTCCTGGCGTCGATCGAATGAGGATAGAACATCACGATTTCGTGACGCCTTCGAAGAAAAAAATCGAAATTTCTTCTGTTTCTAGCAATTATCATTTAGAAGTGAACCCGAGGTATCTCTGGATTTTCCTTTGCACGATTATATCTTGCTGCCGAGATTTAGTATTTTTCGTCTTTAATTTAGTGACGTTGGTATCTACGATCGCATTGTTATTCAGGAGTTGATTAAGAATATGGCTTCTACGGGTCAACTTGACACTGGACAACAGAAGGACTTTAAGATAGTCGTCCTTCATGAAGTAGATCGGCTCTCACGCGATGCGCAGCATGCTCTACGCCGAACGATGGAAAAATATATTGCTTCATGCAGATTAATTTTATGTGCAGAATCTACCAGTAAAGTAAGTCTGCATTGCTTACTTTTGTTTATTCACCAAAGCCCTTGTAACCCTCAGGTTTAGTGTCCTAGTAGAAAAGATTCAAGCCTTTAAATTTCCATCTTATTTGTGCTATTTGAATTTAAGTGCTATTTATTTATCAGTCCTATTCACCAAGAAAAGAATTGTCAGCAATATTATTTATCGAAACTTGCATATCTTTATTAATTGGCCAATTTCCGCATTAAAAAAAACATTTCAGTAGTAAATTATAATATACCAAGATAATTCTTCGTATTGTAAACAAAATTAAAGATAGGATTATTTCGTTAAGACTTTATTTTCTAATTGGTTATATTATTTATTTTAATTGAATCCATTTTAAATCAATTGGTTTGTATGCATTTACCAATGTTTTAGTTGGTGATATCGACTCCGTTGTCAACTAAAGCTTCTAAACGTATTTTTCATGTATTAGTTGATAAATACCTATTTTTGCATGCCAAAAACTATTCTACACATATTCTAGGATACTTGGCTTCAGCCATTGTGGAATATTTTTTAAATATGAAATCTGTGAAAATCTATTACAATAACTTTGATATTGTTATCTCCCACTGAAGTACGAACCCAACCTTATCAATATATCCACTATGTAGATATAATCCAGAGATAAGACAATGGTCTCCTATCACGAACAAATTAAAAGATTAAACTTTCCATGGGCTTTCACTGTATATGGTATTACAAAAAACTTGATACTAAAAAATGATAATTAGCTGCGTCACATCGATCACTACGTTTCTTATGCTTAGCTTT